CACAAAATTCGCGATACTTTTTGAACAGACCTCGTATATACAGGTATACATATATGTTACACATTTAAAGAAAATTTTAATATAATAAATTGCTAGAAAAAATAAAATTATTGTCGTTTTTAAAATGTCATAGTGTAGTATTATACGTGAGAAAGTGTGCAAGTTCAATTAGAGTGGCCTTTACTTGGACACAGTACAATTGGACACGCTGCAAATAGACACGGTTCGACTGGACACATTTTGGTGTACACGGTTCAATTGGACACGGTTCATTTAGACACAGTGATTTTTGGACACATAGAAAATAAATTTTCGACACGTTGCAATTAGACACGTCAAAAATGTACACTGTTCAGTTGTACACCATTTATTTGTACACGTGAAAGATGAACACTGTTCACCTAGACACGTAAAAATGTACACCGTTCATTTCTACACACTTCGTCCTGGTGTGAGAAAAATTGCCTACGGCTCAATATCTCTAAATTGTTTTATTGTTCGTTTCACACGTAAGCGTGACCCTTTTCTTTTCGATTATGAGCTTGATGGTTTGCCTCTCACAGTTGCAGAAGAGATCCGAGATCTAGGTATCACATTCAGTAATAATTTAACGTTTAACAAACACATAAAAACTATGGTTGCCACTGCAAATAGAGATCTCGGATTCATTCTCCGCTGGGGGAGGTATTTTAATAATATACACACTCTGAAACTCTTGTACTGCACACTAGTTTGTCCAAGGTTGGAATACTGCTCCACCGTATGGTCTCCGTATTACAGATGCTATCATAATCTGATTGAGCGTGTGCAGCATAAATTCTTGCGTATAGCCGCTTTTAGGATAGGCATTCCCATGGAAATCACCTGCCACAACTATCACCCCATATCAAATAGATTAAATATACTCTCTCTAGAGAAGAGAAGACAGATAATTGATCTAACCTTTGTCTATCAATTAATCAATTACGGCATTGACTGTCCAGAGTTACTAAGAACCATAAATCTAAATACTCCACTAAGGAATCTGAGACAGTACGCCATATTCCATGTTGAATCCCATCGTACAAATTATGGAATGAAATTGAAACGTTTCTAGGTTGGTGATCTCCGCGAACTACTATTCAAACAAAATAGACTTTTTCGACGGTACTCTGGCCAGTTTCAAACGCAAGCTCCTCCATCAGTTCTCATAATCACTACTCTGTTGCACTCTTGACGTATATGTATATTAGCTCTACTTTTAACAATTTTACTTTATTTATTTTATACTCCGGAATTATTTATACTCAGCAGTTTCTGTACAATTTTATTTATTTTATTTTTATTTTATTTTATATTTATTTTATTTTATTTTATTATTCTTATCTTAGTATTTATTTATCTATTTTTATTTATTTATTTTAATCATATATTCTCGTTATGTTTTAATACTTTACCTATAATCTAAATTAATTTTATTATATTTTTATTATATTCAAATGAGTTATACTTTATAAGATTTATTTTAATGTACTATATAGCCTAATTATGCTTATGCGATTTTATTTTATTTTATTTTATTTTATTTTATTCTATATATATACTCTTATCTATTGCAACCGCATTCTCTAATATATTTATGTATCTCCTCTGTATACTAAAGGGTTATCCCGTAAATAAAGATTTATTATTTATTATTATTATCTTAAATAATAATTTCCTACAGCTTTGTATTTTTCTTCCATTTCCCCCGAAATTTGTCATTATTGCCAGTCAAATTCTTCATCAATATATAACAATATATGTATATTAATATATGTATAATAGGTAATGCGCAGAATCAAGTAATCCATTCGATTCCAGCTTATTTATTGCAATACGGTTATATTTATTTCAGGGTCACTTCGTTTGGGGATTGGGAGTGACTCCATTTGAGGATATACCTCCATTTGAGGGTATATCTTCATTTGAGGATATACCTCCATTTGTGGGTTACCCCTTTTGAGAGTACCTTCATTTGGGGGTTACAATAATTTGAGAGTACCCCCATTTGGAGGTTTCTTTCTAGGTTAACCCTCATTTAGGTGTTGACCGTCAATTGACGATCCGAATTTACACCAAACGTTTTTGAAGGTATTTTTACACCCAAAATTTGAGTGTTTTTTTCATAAGGGAAGATGAAGACATAGAACTCTGGATCGAGAAGATCGAGAAGATCGCTCATATACACGGTCTTCCCCTGGGGCAATGCTGTCTGCTGCCTCACTCAAACTCGCAAAGGCAGCCCGTAAATGGTTTGACTTAACCACAAGCTCAATCAATGAGTCGTGGTCCGACTTCAAGTCAGCGATAATTCGTCGCTTTAAAAGACGAATCTTATATATGTACTGTTCTTACAAGAAAAGCAGATGAGCGCAGATGGCTCTTCTCGAAAGAGTCATTTCGAGACTACGTAATGGATAAAATAGCCATTTTGCAGTGTCTCAAGCTTGACGACGAAAAAGTCATTCACTGCCTCATAGATGGTATTAGCAGCCTAGCCATCAAAGCTTGTACCGCGTCTATCAAAGCAGATTCAATTGACGATTTCCTGCAACAGATGCATCACATAACAATCACAAGTAAGTCCAACGTCAAGGAAATCTCCAGTGTTCGGCCGTAAATACGACAAACAAAAATCCAAGGTTGAAGCCGCAGCCAAACCTGATCAACAGGAGAAGACTTCCAGTGATCTCTTTTGTGTGTATTGCCGCAATAAGGGCCATACAAGAGACTCCTGCTACAAACTCAAGAGAAGAAGGATCCTTCCCCCAAACCTGCTGCGTCGAAGCCGCCGCCCCTCATCTCTGCAGTCATCGAGACACCGGCCCAGGAAGCAGCCAGCCCACAGGGATCCAACACCATCGCTTTCGTGGAAGCCCCACGTAACCAACTAATTACCGACAGTGCCGTAGTAAAGGTAAAAGAGTTAAACAATTACTCTTGTGATCTCAAGGCTTTCCTCGATACAGGAAGCCCAACTTCGATTATAAATGCAAACGCGTTCAAAAATTTTTCCCGCGAACTTGATTTACGGTTTCAACCGTTCCGTCGCTCAAAGCCATTAATGGACCACCTATAAAAATTTTAAATACCGTTGATGCCACGATTAAATTAGAAACGTTACCGACTTTTACAGCGTTAATTCGTCTTCATGTCTTGGACGAATCTATAACGTCTTCGAACATTATCATTGGTCGAGATTTCATAGAGTTAAGTAATTTATCTATCCTTCTTGAACCCACTAAGGTCGTCGTAAAATCTACTGACGCGAATGTTGATAATAAGCTTGATTTACTCGCGGAAGTCGCATCCGTTGACATAGCGGAAGAAGTTACTAATAAAATAGATAGTCTCGCCAATGATATTGTCATCGATTTTGACGTTTCGGCAAAAGAACAATTGATCGACGTCATTAAAGTAGTCGAAACTACCGAGATACCGCTGATCGAAGACGATCATTCTATAAAAATACATTTAAAAGAATCTGTTTATGCGTTCTCCCCGAGACGATTCGCATGGCCGAGAGACTGCAGATCCGCGAGATAATCGATGATGTCTTACAAAGAAAAATAATGAAAGAGAGTGACTCGCCATACTGTTCTCGCATTGTCCCTGTAAGAAAAAAAAACGGCAACCTGCGTCTCTGTGTGGACCTACCACCTCTTAATGAAAGGGTCGTCAAACGAAAATATCCTTTCCCTCTCATTGAGGATTGCCTTTCTAGAGTAGGCAATAAATCTGTTTTTTCATTATTAGACCTGAAAAGACGGATTTTATCAGCTCAAAGTCCACCCAGATTACACTAAGTTTTTCTCGTTTGCCACACCAGACGGGCAATACGAATATTTGCGCCTTCCCTTCGGTTGTTGCGAAGCTCCAGCCGAATTTCAAAAACGGCTTTTATTCATTTTAAGGTCCCTTATTAAAGAGGATGAAATCTTGGTTTATCTAGACGATATACATATTCATCCCATCATCCTCTGTTCGAGAAAATTTAGACGTTCTCAAGCAAGTT